GTATACCCCATGATTCTGCGAAGACATTTAGTACCGAAGGAGTTAAGACGGGCTTTCAGAGCACTGTTCAGTGTCCATGTCTCACACCCATAGAGTAAGACCGGGATTACCAGTGCTCTGAAGAGCCTGATCTTAGTTCTTCTAGTCAAATACCGACAGCGCCAAATACTCCTATTGAGTGAGTCCATAACGCCGTAGGCCAGTCCGAGTCGTCGAGCGACTTCCCGGTCGGAACCTCCGTCGCTCTGCACTACACTACCAAGATAAGTGAAGCTATCCAAGACCTCAATGTTCTCGCCACAGGCATGCACAGACTGAACATCAACATCCAAAAAGTCCCCAAATTCCTGAACCTTGGTCTTGGTCCAGTTGACCGCGAGTCCCAACGGCTTCGCCTCCTCATGCAGCGCCTCGAGAGCTACTTCCAGGACCTCTAGTGTCTCCGCTAGAATCACTGCATCATCGGCAAAGTCAATGTCTGTGACCTTGAAATTACCAATTGATGCCCCACAGGAACTACTGTTCACGGTACGGTCAAGTATCCAGTCCATACAAGTGTTGAAAAGGGTTGGGGCCAGGACACATCCCTGTCTCACCCCGGCAGACACCGGGAAGAAGGCAGAGATGCCCTCCCCACACTTGACAGCACTCTCAGTATCTGTATACAGGCCAGACAGCAAACCAATAATTCCAGGGGGGATCCCACGGAGACCCAGTAGGCTCCAGAGACTCTCCCGGTGCACTGAGTCGAAAGCCTTCTTGAGATCAACATAAGCTGCAAGCATATCCTGTTGAAACTCAAGTCGGCGTTCCACAAGGACACGAAGTGCTAAGACACGGTCTATAGTTGACTTCTTGGGTTTAAAACCAGACTGCTCAGGTCTCTGTGCTCGTAATAGGTGGTCGCGCACTCGTGCCAAAAGCAGATGAGCGAGGACCTTACCTGGTACGCTGAGCAATTTAATACCTCTGTAGTTGCCACAGTCCTTTTGGTCCCCTTTCCCTTTCCAGATAGGGATGATAATAATAATAATAATAATAATAATAATAATAATAATAATGATGATGCTCATGGTGATCATGGTAAGAATAAGAATAATATTGATAATGATAATAATAATGATGATAATAATAATAATAATGATAACATAATAATAATAATATGATAATGATGATGATAAGAATGACAATAGTAATAATGATAATATCAATAATAATAATAGTGATAATAATAATAACAATAATAATAACATAATAATAATGACAACAGTAACAACAATAATGATAACAATAGTGATGATAACAACAATAGTAATAGTAATGATAATAAAAATAACATCCACAAATTCCCAATTGGCATCCAGTGAAAATAATCATAAATCGGGCCGAAGGAGCTCTTTAGTCTTGGTGAAAAATCATCCTCGATATTGTGTCTAGATAAAAAAAAACTGATTGGTGGCTAAACTTAAAACACAACCCCGAGTTTTGGGCGGCAATGCTGAAGAGAATGTATAGAACAGCGTATATGAGAGGTTGGTGAACTGTGGAGGAAAAGCGCGGGCCTCGTCTACATCAAGTGACTATTTAGAACCACAACATAGGAGTAAGTGATGGGACGACGAGCAGAAGAGGATTTTGTCAGAGGGATGGGATATTAATATGGTTATTGGCTGGTTATTAACTGACGTGGAGATTAAAGAGATTTGGATAAAAGTTGAAGGATATGAGAGTAATAACATATCATTTGGAGAAAATATAGTACATGAAATAGGTGAGAACGTACGAGACGAAGTACAACAGAATATTTGAGATTATTTCATGGAAGAGCTAGAAATGATGAAGAGGGTAGAACAGCATAGGTTAGATGCGGAGATAGTAGGAAAAATCTCTGAGTAAATTAGAGAGGAACCAGACAAAGGACTACCACGCTAAAGGTATATGTATAAGAAAATTAAAAAATGGTAAAAACAGAAACTAAGAAATCTGACTCCAAGTATTTTAGACGCAGAAACTGTCAGAGTGAAATCTTGTAAATAAAGTTGCAGCCTATGTTGTTGCTAACAAATCAGGGTATAATAGAAGAGAATAAACAGAACGGACGGAACTATTCTGTAGAGCAAGAATACGTGATAAATAGAAAAAAAAAACTGTTTTAGGTTTGTCTGCATCTCACATTGGGCAAGTACTTAGAATAGGAATAGGAAAAATACGACACTGAGGTAACGAAACAAAGATTAGAAACAGCATATCTAATAAGCAATAAAGGACAAAAGGATAAAAGACATTGGTTGATGAATAAGAACAGTGTCATTTGAAACTTACTGCAAAGAAGACATATGACGGTGCATATTTTCTCAGATGACATTAGGATGAAATTCTAATTTTCAAAATGTACCACAGGGTATAAGTTTGAGGTAGAGGGTTTCAAACGAACATAAATGAAGAAGGTAAGAAAAGAGTTGCAGAGAAGTATTAAAAAGATACTGGGATCAAAGGCGAATAACGGAACCTTCACACCAGTTAATTCCAGGGCGGTTGCAATTGTATAGTAAGGAGTAGGAATCTTGATATAAACAGATACTTTATTGAAGGAATTCGATTTGAGAGACAAGGAAATTATTCACTATACCTGGAGCTCAACGTACAGGTGTAAATGCACTATATTTGAAATGGGAAAAGTAAAGAAGAGGAATGATATGACTGGAGTAAAGGATTGTGCAAGATAGTCTGGTGAGGTACATATCACGAAGAGAAGAAACTTATCGGTGGCAGTACGTGAAAAAAGAGACACTGAAGGAGGGAAAATAGAAAACGTCAAACTGGATGTATAGGAGCATGTCGAAGAGGCATTCAACAAAGGGCTTACACGCACAATTTCATAAAATAACAGGAAGTAGAAAGGAAGAGCCAGTACTATTGATTGAAGAAGGGGCACTAAGAAAGGAAATCAAAGTACCAACATAGCGATACAGGACTGCGCTTTGACAAGAAATTAGCGTCAGCATGTAAGAAATGAGCAGGCATCACAATTTTGTCGAGTGTGTAAGGAATCTGACGGAACAATAACGCAGATTGTAAGTGGACGTCCTACGCTAGCACAATACGTACGTATAAGGTGTGGTGGCGGCGTGGCGAGGAAAAAAAATATATTGCACTGGAAATTGTGTGTGGAGTGGGGAATCCACATGGTATGAACACAAGCCAGAAGAAGGTAGTGGAGTCGGATACATGTAAAATACTATGTGAATTTCCCACACAGAGGTTGATAAGGTGAAGAAAACATGTTTGGTGATAAATGTGGCTTGTTCGTTGATTTCGGTTAGCAAAGGAGGAGGGTGGGGTTTAGAGTAATCTGAAATGCGAAATAAATAGAATTTTGAATATTAGGGTAGATATAGTAACCAAAGATATGACACGTATATCGAGCAATTAGGTATAGTGTTCAGTTGAACTATTACAGAAAATATGTCTCTTTGCTTCGGTAAGAAGAATCGGGAAAATGCTTGACAACTACTTACATGACAACAAAACCTGGGCGAAAATTCAAATAATAATAAAATGTTGATAAAGATGACAATTGTTATCCTTTATCATTAATTATTATAAGACAACAATAATGATAATGAGTGATGATGATGATAGTGATTATAAAGATAATGATAATGAGAATAATACTAATATAATAATAATACCGTCATTATTATTATAATAATGATAATAATAATAATGATAATAATAATAATAATAATAACAATGATAATAATATTAATAATGATATAACAACAACATCAACAATAATAATAATAATGATAATGATGATAATGATAATAAGGATAATGTTAATAATAATGATGATATTTATTATGATGATAATAAATTGTCATAAAATTATAATGGTAGCAATAGTACTAGAAATATTAATAATTAATACTAATTATTATCATAATCGCAAAAATAAAACAATAACAATATTAGCGTTAATAATGATGATGATGATGATGGCTATACCAGTGATAATTATACTCAACAACAATAATGATGATGATGATGTTGATAATATGAATAATGATAATAATAATGGTAAGGATAATGATAATAGTGACAATAAGGATAACAACCACAATAGTATGATAATAATAGTAGTAGTTGAAGTAGTAGTAATGATAATAAAAGTGATGATAATGATAATGATGATGATAGAAATAATAAAAATGGCAATAATGATAATAATAATAATAATAATAATAATCATTATTATTATTATTATTACTATTGTTATTATTATTATCATTATTGTCATCATTATTATTATGATGATGATGATGATAATATTAATAATAATGTTAATGGTAATAATAATGATTATAATAATAATGATAACAATAATAATGATATTAGTGATAATGATGATAATGATAGTAATAATGATAATAATAATAGTAATAATAATAGTGACAATAGTAATAGTAATAATGATAATAATAATAGTAATAATAATAGTGACAATAATAATAGTAATAGATAATAATAACAATAATAGTAATAAATAATAATGATAATAATAGTAATAATAATAATAATGATAATAATAATAATAATAATAATAATAATAATAATAATAATAATAATAATAATAATAATAATCATAATCATAATAATAATAATAATAATAATGATAATAATACTAATAAATAAATAATAATAATAATAATGATAATAATAATAATAATGATATTAACAATAATAATAATAATAATAATAATAATAATACTAATAATAATAACAATAATGGTATTAACAATAATAATAATAATAACAATAATAATAATAATAATAATAATAATAATAATAATAATAATAATAATAATAATAGTAATAAATATAATGATAATAAGAATGACAGTAATATCAAAGAAAGACAATGAAACTCATAGTAATTAATAAAGAAAATACTGATTATGCCAAAGCAATGAACTCTGTAAACAGTTTAGCCCCGTATC